CTCATTTTCTTCTTTATTCTGGGACAATCCGTTATCTTGCTTTAGGACAAAATCTCTTTTTTTTCCTTAAACACAGACCTCATATATTTTTTCTAATTAAAAGCACATCTTATTTTCTCTGCACATTTTTCATATACAGTTGTTTGCTTTCATCTTTATTTCTAATGGTTTTAATTGCACATGTTAATTCAAGTTCTTAATCCTTAGTGACATTAATATCCACTGTAAATGAGGAAGTACACGATGTCATAGTTGTTAAATGGCATGTGCCTCCGCAGCACAGGACACGCTTACGGGCAGACCCAGGTAGCTCCAGTTCCCCCATAATAAGCCAAAAAACACTTAAGCTTTAATTTATTTTGTGAGACATTAAACTTAATGTTTTAATAGTTTATCTTATCACTGGGCATGATCTAGATATTTAATAACTATCATTTAATTTAAATTGGCATAATTTAGGGTTTCAAGTCTTCAAAAGTATTTTGGAAGCTTTATAGGCAGACATAACTCCTTGTCATTTCAGGATATTTTTCTTATTGACAAATTTTGTAACAGAAATTCCGTAGGCTTATTTGACCATTACAACTAGGTAGAAGAATATCCATTTCTACTAAATTGTCAGTATTCTCATTTATTAAAAATGACTTGCTGGGCATGGTGGCTCATGCCTGTAATCCCAGCACTTTGGAAGGCCAAAGGATTGCTTGGGGCCAGGAGTTTGAGATCAGCCTGGCCAACATAGTGAGAGCCCTGTCTCTACAAAAAAAATTAAAAATTAGCTGGGTGTGGTGGTGCATGCCAAGTAGTCCCAGCTACTTGGGAGGCTGAGGTGAGAAGATTGTTTGAGCCCAGAAGACTGAGGTTGCAGTGAGCTATGATCACACCACTGCACTTCAGCCTGGGCAACAGAGTAGGACTCTGAAAAATGAAAACAAAACGATTACTCACGTTTTATGACCTTGAAAATGATTTGGGTTAATTCCTTTGCTTCTGAGGAAATAATTTGTATAAGCACTTTTTTCTTTAGGCCAGTAAAGCAGAGCTTTTTAAACATTATTTCTAATAATAGCATCCAGAGGTAGAATGCTATAACATGTAAATAACATGCATATATATAGATGTAATAACCAAACAGACAGATGCAGAGATTGCTGGCTTCTGTTCTCCAATTGTAGCCCTGTGCCAGGTACAATAATATAAAACTCACTGGTTGGTCCAAATTGTATTCTTGGCAGATAAAGTTACCTGTTTGGATGGCCAAAGCCTTTTGTTAATACATATGAAAAGGACTTTTAAGATTTTCCATTTGCCAGGTTTTTTTTTTACTGTTCCCATTTCTTCTCCCTTCTGATGACTCATTTCCCTGATGCTGCATTTTAAAGCTTTCAACAACTCTAAGACAGGGACAAAGGACAGTAAGTTTTCTCCAGAAAGGAGCTGTGCACAGAGGTGCATGTTGTCGGGGTCAGTCTTACTGGTACTGCAGGCTGTGTTTATGGAGTGGCCGGGAGACACCTGTCTGTTGAGGAGTCCTTCTCCCCTTCAGCCTCAGGTGGCTGCTTTTGTAACAGCTCAGGGTTGTGAGCAAGGTCAAAACCTGAGTTAGTTGTTGCAGAGGCCCCAGGCTCAGTTGAGGATTTAATTTGTAAGGACGTTGGTTTTTAGGATCTTCATATGAAAAAGGTAAGAAATCAAATATTAGTAGACTCAAAATAATATTTTGTTCAAGCGCTGTAGAGATTCCTTTAGAGAGGCTATAATTTTGGAGTCATTCTGTCGAAAATCAATCTGTATACTAATCAAAAAATGTATTGCCTGGTTTTGTAGGCACTCAGGATTCCTTTTCTTCAGTGTGCCCATAGGTGAATGATTTCATCTGGAATAAACTTCCCACTGTGGCCCCTGTAACTCACAGCCATCCTTCTGAGCTGCACCCATTTCTCTAGAAAGGCACGGGCTCTGGGTCTGTAGTTTCTGAACATAAAATTACCTGGAGTTCCAGATGGGGTGTCCCAGACTCCATGGATTCTGATGAGCCCACAATTCCTTGTTTTTCTCACATTTTTCTTGCCTGAGGCCTCCAGCTGGACCCAGGCCAGTTCTGTAGAACAGCCAGTTTGACTGTGGATCCCAGTGCAGGTTCCAGTGCAGTCCCTGTCAGACCCAGGCTGACCTCTGGAATAAAAGTTGCTCCCATGGAGTCGGAGAGCTCAGGATGCACGTTGTGGAGCTCGACCTCCTAGAGGGACTTACCCTGTGACCACCAAATGTAGCTAGAGAGCAGTGAGCACAGTGGCCTGGAGGCTGCCCACGCCTGGTTACTCGCTGCTCCTGGGTGTCATCAAGGGTCTCCTTCAGATCTCACTTCTGACAGTGGACTGTCAAAAAGGTAAACTGAGGCACAGCAACATGTTTAAAGAGTTCATTTGAACAAGCAACTCTTCCTGAATTGGGCAGCTCCAAACCAGAGGTGGTTCAGGAACTCCCCTGAGGGAATGCCTTGGGCTTTTATAGACAACACAGAAGTAAAGCAAAGAGTGCTGGCTTGGTTACACTTGCACAGATGCCTTATTTGTTGTGTCCCATTGGAAAGTCCCAAGTTGATATGGCTATTAAAAGTTTGTTGGCTACTTCTGATAGTTGAGCTTATGTCCTATTCTTCTTTAACATGGGAATTTACAAGAAATGGCTCAAGTTAAGTGTTGCTTATATCTGTAAATCAATCAATGTTGAAATAATTTATGAGACCTGACTGGTTGTGTCTGCCCAGAGGTTTTTGATGTCTGTTTCCTTTTAAATTTACTTTAAAATAGCCAATCTAACAGTATCAGATGTGCTTCATGTGTTTAACTTAGAACATTATGGTTTCTAAAGACTATCTTTGTTTATGGTATAATATTTTTAAATACTATTTTATTTTGAATTAAAAACATCTGTTTTTTAGGTAGTATCAAAAGAGGATACCAATGTGCCTATAAGAATATACACATGTGCACAGTGAAATTATTTCTTATTATTTGTTGGGGAAGTGCCTTAGACACTCAGTGTAGTGGCTAAGATTAGAAAGGCTGATATGTACAGTCTTGGCAATGATATGGAGCAACCACATTCACATTGTTTATCAGGGCATATGTATGTGCAATCACTTTGGAAAACCGTTTGGCAGTAGGTACTAAAAACTAGACATATGTCTACTGATGACCTAAAGATTCCCCTGCTAGGTACAATCCCAAGACAAATGTGTGTGTGTGTCCACCAGCATACACATATAATAGTGGTCTTATATTTTATTCATAGTAGCCAATAAGTACAAACAACCCAGACATGCATTGACAGAACAGTAGACAGTTAGCCTGTGCTGTGGTCATATCTTGGGTCCCTCTGTGGCAGGAGAGAACAGATGCACACAGAACAACAACATGGTGACGTCACAGACATAATGAAGCAGAGGGAAGCCAAACACATAAGTCTTCAAAGCAGGAGCCCAGTCATAGAGAGTGTGAGGGCAGACACAATTTCTCTGTGGTGATAGGAGTCAGAACAGTGATGACCTCTGGGGCTGGGGTGATGATTGGGAAGCGGTACTGCAGACTATTTCTGAGTGTCAGAAATGTTCTATATGTTGATCATGAGGGTGTGGCTTTGTGTGTCGGGGGGTGTGTGGTGTGTGTGTGTAGCATGTGGTATGTCTGTGTGGTGTGTATGCCTGTGGCATATGTAGTATGTATATGTGTGATGTATATGGTGTATATGTGTGGTGTGTGTAGCGTGTGGTATGTCTGGTGTGTATGCTATATGGTGTGTGGTGTGTGGTGTGTGTGTATGTGTGTGGTGTGTCTGTGGGGTGTGATATGTGTGTGTAGTGAGTAGTATCTGTGGTGTGTGTGGTATTTGTATATGTGTGTTGTATAGTGTATGGTGTGTGTATGTGTGTGTAGTGTGTATATGTGTGGTGTGTGTTTTGTGTGTGTGTTGCGTAGTATGTGGTATGTCTGGTGTGTATGCTATGTGGTATGCGTGTGGTGTGTGGTGTGTGTGGTGTATGTGTGTGCTCTGTGTGTGGTGTATGTGTAGGGTGTAGTGTGTGGTATGTCTGTGTGGTGTGTATGCTATGTGGGGTGTGTGTGTGTGTGTGTATATATGTGGTGTGTGGTGTGTGTGGTGTGTGTATGTGTGGTGTGTGTAGTGTGTGGTAGGTGTGGTGGGTATGTTGGTGATGTGTGTATGTGTGTGGTGTGTGTAGTCTGTGATGTGATCTGTGGTGTGTGTAGTCTGTGATCTGTGTCTGTGGTGTGTGTAGTCTGTGATGTGTCTGTGTGGTGTATGCTATTTGGTATTTGTGTGGTGTGTATGTATATGTGTGGTGTGTATGTGCGCGTGTTGTGTGTGTTGTGTGTGGTGTGTGGGGGTGTGTGTAGTCTGTGATATGTCTGCGTGGTGTATACTATTTGGTGTGTGTGTGGTGTATGTGTGTATGTGTGGTGTGTATGTGTGTATGTTGTGTGTATGTGTGTGTTGGGGGGCGTGGGGGTGTGTGTTGTGTGTGTTATGTAGTGTGTGGTATATCTGTGGTGCGTCTGCTATGTGGTGTGTGTGTTTTGTATGTGTGATGTGTAGTGTGTGTGTTGTGCACATAAAATCATTGAGTTACATACTTAAGATTTGTTCACGTTAAGTGCATTCATTTTCTCAGATTTTCAGATGCACACTTTTGTTGTCACAGGAAAACACCTTCACAAAGAAGCCTATAATCATGTACACTTGAGTTCATTGGAGAAAGACTGAGAACTCTAACATTTAACTTCTTGGATTCTTCTCAGCCAGTTGGTGGATTTTCTTTTTAACTTTACACATTTTATGTGGCTTCAAGGGACAGCAAAATGCTACAAAACTGAAAGCCAAACAGAAATATGCTTGAAAAAGCTGCAGGCACTATTGTTTAAAAACACTACTCTTGGTTCTGTCAGAGGAGACTGCAGTTTCTTTCTATGTCACAAACGATGGTGGCTCTTGGGATCACTCAGTCAATAACAGCTGCCAAGACACCAGCTCCTCGAGACACTGCCCTCCTGGGCTCATGCCTCCGTGATGCCATTGGCCAAGCATTTGAAGAGCGAATCCCGTGGAGGGCACCCAGGCCACTGCTGGGGACCCTGCGACCTGGGCTGCTGGCACTATCTCTGAGCAAGGGGCTTGGGAAGGGTGCCTCAACAAGTGGCTGATTACTGTGGCAGCTGGGCTCACTCTTGCTGGCCTCTCTGGGAAATGATGTAAAATGTACCCCAGTGCCGTCCCTCTGAGGGCCATGAATGCCAAGGCACTCACCACCCTCTCTCACCTGCCACTGGCTGCTCCTGGGGCAACAAGGCCCCACCAGAGACACAGATGGAAAGTTGGGGTTGCTGAGCAAGATGCATCCTGAGGGGAACGCTGAGGGGCTGTGGGCAGGAGGGCACTTCCCACCCACCGAGTACTCAGAGTGTCAGCATTGTTTCAAAGTCACAGGTGAAAGTCAAAATACATGCCCCCTTTCCTTCAACACCTTTTCTTCAATTTTGTGTTTAAAACTAAAATGAAATTAAGAAAGTTATTCAACAGTTTCAGACAAAGCATCCTTATTCTTGATGCAAATTAGTAAGAGATGTTGGTCCAATTGAAATTATTTTCTCCTCATTAAACAGAGAATCCATAGCATGTATGGTTACAAACCATACATCGAATGAGGGGTTAATACCCAAAATACATAAGGAACTCAAACAACCCAACACAAGAAAACAACCTGATTTTAAAAATGGGCAAAAGACCTGAATAGACATTTTTCAAAAGAAGACATACATGTGGCCAACAGGTTCATGAAAAAATGCTCAATGTGACTAATCATTAGAGAAATGCAAATCAAAATCATAATAAGCTATCACATCATACCTGTTGGAATGGTTATTCTCAAAAAGACGAAACATAAGTGTTGGTGGGGATGTGGTGAAAAGGGAATACTTGCACGCTATTAGCGAAATCGTAAATTAGTTCAGCCATTATGGACAATGGTATGAGGTTCCTCAAAACACTAAAAATAGTACTACCAGAGTTTCTGGCAATCCTACCACTGGGTTTACAGCCAAATGAAATGGAATCACTGTGTCGCACAGATACCTGCACCCCATGTTTACTGCAGCACTACCCACAATAGTCAAGATGTGGAAGCAACCTGTGTCCATCAGTGGACAAATGGCTAAAGTAAATGTGGTATTAAATGATGGAATATTATTCAGACTTAAAAAGGAGAAAATTCTGTCACTTATTACAACATGGATGAACCTGGAGGACATCGAGTTAAATAACTCAGGCACAGAAAGGCAAATACTGCCTGACCTCACTCATGTGGAATCTGAAAGGGCTGAACTCATAGAAGCAGAGGGTGGGATGGTGGTTACCAGGGGCTGGGGCAGGGGAGAAGAATGGGGGATGGGGAGATGTTAGTCAAGGCTGCAAAGCTTTGGTTAGGAGGATTACATTCTAGTGATCTACTGCACAGCCGGGTGACTGTAGCTTATGACAGCCGACCTGTGAATAACGCGGCTTGAGCTGCACAGGTCCACACACTCGGGTCTGCACGGGCAGGTTCCTCGTCCACAGCCAAACACAGACTGGAGTTACGGTACTTGAGGGATGTGAAACCTGTGTATGTGGAGGGCTGACTTTTGGTATTTGTGGATTCCGCAGGGCCGACTGTAGGACTGGAGTATAAGATTTTGGTATCTCAGAAATCCTGGAACCAATCCCCGATGGATACCAAGGGATGCCTTTATATGTTTCAGAACTGGTAGGTGAGCAATTCTCTTGACTTCAAATGCTCTCACCACAAAATAACGATCAAGTATTTGAGGTGATGTTAACTAGCTTGATTCAATCATTCCACGTTGCATATATATTGTAACATCAAATCCTACCTCAGAAATGTAATGCAATTGCAATTTGTCAATTGGAAGTGTTGTAACAGTAATGAAAAAATGATCTCTCTTGAAGGGCTCATTTATAGGTCATTGCCTTCACCCTTCCTCAGGGCCTTCCTCCCACTTACAGCTTCTGTTCCTCTCACAAGCTCAGGGTCACGTATTTCCAGTACAGGGAGATATTTCAAATGATTTCAAATTTTCTCTATTTGTTTCTACAGCCCAAACTCAGTTCAGACCCCACATGCGTGCCGTGGGTAGACCAGGAGGCCAGGGAGCATGAGTGAGCGCCGACGTCCACAGGGCATCCAAAAGGTGTGCCTGGAGAGGTCCAGGCCCTGGACGTGCCTGCTGGGCCTGGGAGATGGGTCATTGCCTGTTCCCGGATGGCGTTGTTGCATCCTGGGGTGAACTTTGAGGGAACATGAACAGCTCCATTCCACCTACCAATTGAAAGGGTGCAGTCCACATCTCCGGTGGCAAAGATGACTCAACACCACTTGCTCCTCCACCGCACCCTTCCCATGGTACTGGCTGTAACTTAGGAGGCTCTGAGTCCTTTATCAAGGTTGTCCTGGGAGACAGGAGTTGACAGAGTTGGCGATGGGGGAAACACCCCGCTTGCGAGGCCACAGCCATTTCCAGGCTTCTCTCTCCACACACCTGGGCTCTGTCAGTGAGCACAGTGACCGAGGAAATAACCTGGGTTCCATCCCAATACCGCCTCATCCTTCCTGTCACTCTGCACAGGTGACACAGTCTTCAGACGGCCCCGGACCTCACTGGAGGGTGAAGAAAATCATAGCGTCATTGACAAGGCTGCCATGAGGATCGTGTGAGCAGAAACACACAGATGATCACAGCATCACTGACAGGTGGCTCTGAGGATCGCATGAGCATAACACTGGTGTGTTATGCTTTAAAGCTTTTCCTTGATCTTGGTGTTTCACATCTTAGGAAACCTCTCTCACTAATCAGCTGGCCCTGTGTGCAATGCAGCTTCTACTGAAAAGCAAACACTTCAACTTTCAGGCTTTGTGGCCACAGCTCCGTTTCTGGCGTGGCAGAGTCTCCTCCCTCTCCCACATGTGGCAGACCGCAGGTTGGACATCTATCATGATGCTGTTTGATGGAAACGGCATTGGGCCAGCATCCGAAATGCCCCCACACCTGAGGCGAGCCTGGCAGGCTGCATTTTGTTCTTGGGCCTTGACTTTTCCTTCTTCTTGAATAATTGGGAGTCCTTGAAAAGCAGTATTTTCCTGGAATCCTCAGCTAAACCAGAAGCTCCTACACACCAAGCCAGAAGAACATGCTTCCAAATTTCCTGTGGGTGGATTAACCTGTAGGAGCAGGATTTATTATTTTGTTTTCCAGACAGAAGAAATTCTAGTTTCTTAACATTTGGAAACTTTTGGTTCAAGAATGCAGGGAATTATAATGTATTTCAGAGTTACTCATGAGTTCAAGTTTGAAGCTGGTCATGTGACTTTAGCTTTTTCCTTTTTGAGCTGTCCGGGTCCCTCGTGTGAACTCTTAGCTGCCCCTGGCCCACACTATGAGGAGTTGTGTCCCTGGAGGAACCCCCATCTGCACTTGGCACCTTTCTGTCTGTGTGTGTCCTGTCAAAACTTACCCATCGAAACAGTCGTGACTGAGGCACGAACTTTGATAATGACAAAATATCGTGAATCCTGATTGCTCCTCAGTTGGCAAAGGTCATAATGATTTAAAAGTTTCTACCTCCCTCAAGGGCTTTGTTTTCAGTTTTCTTTGTCAGAATATATTATAGCCTCATCTGTTGGCTATAAAATTTACTCATAGTTGGGTAACTGAAAAAATAAGCAATCCTAATTTTACAGACAGCTGGTGAGAAGTCCTGTTAGATATTTTAGCTTTTTTCATACAGCATACCTTAGAGATATTGCGGATCTAGTTCCGTACCACCATAATAAAATGAATATCACAATAAAGCAAGTTGCACAATTTTTTTGGTTTTCTAATGCACATAAAAGTTATTTTTATGCTATATTGTAGTCTTTTAGGTGTGCACTGGCTTTATGTCTAAGAAACATTGTACATACCTTAATTAAAAGACTATTGCTAAAAATGCTAATGATATCTGAGCTGTCAGCAAGTTGAAATCTCTTTGCTAATGAAGGAGTCTTGCCTTGCTGTTGATGGCTGCAGACTGATCAGGGTGGGGGTTGCTGAAGGCTGGGATGGTTGTGACAATTTCTTAAAATAAAACAACAATGAAGTTGCTACATTGATTAACTCTTCCTTTCACAAAACATTTCTCTATCATGATACTGTTTGATGACATTTTATCCACAGTAGAACTTCTTTCAAAATTAGAATCAATCTCCTAACCCCTGCTGCTGCTTTATCAACTAGGTATTTAATATTCGGAATCTTCTGTTGTCGTTTCAACAATGTTCACAGCATTTTCACATGGAGTAGATTCCATCTTAAGAAGTCATTTTCTTTACTTACTCATAAGAAGCATCTTTTTATCCAGATAAGTTTGATGATGAGATTGCAGCAACTCAGTCCCATCTTCAGGCTCCACTTCTAACTCTGGTTCTCTTGCTATTTCCACCATACCTGTGGCTCCTTCCTCCACTAAAGTCTTGAATCCCTCATAGTCCTCCATGAGAGTTGGAATCAACTTCTTCCAAACTCCTGTGAATGTTGATATTTTGACCTCCTCTTGTGAATCCCAAATGTTCTTAATGACATCTAGAGTGGTGAATTCTTTTCTGAAAGGTTTTCAATTTACTTTGCCAAGATCTAGCTGAGGAATTACTATCTATGGCAGTTATAGATTTATGAAATGTATCTCTTGAATGATAAGACTCAAAAGTTTAGATTACTCCATGGGCCAAAGAATGGTTGTTATGTCAGCTGGCAGGAGAACAACATTCATTCTCCATCAGAGCTCTTAGGTGACCAGGTGCATTGTCAATGAGCAGTAATATTTTGAAAGGAATTTTTTGGGGGGCAGTAGGTCTCAACAGTGGACTTAAAATATTCAGTAAGCCATGCTGTATACAGATGTGCTATCATCCAGGCTTTGTTGTTCCATTTATAGAGCACAGGTAGAGTAGATTTAGTATCATTCTTAAAGGCCCTAGTTATTTTTGGAATAGTAAGTGAGCACTAACTTCAACTTCAACTCATCAGCTGCATTAGCCCCTCGCAAGAGTCAGCCTGTTCTTTGAAGCTGTGAAGCCAGGCATTGGTTTCTCCTCTATAGCTGTGAAAGCCCCAGGTGGCATCTTGTTCCAAAAGAAGTCTGTTTCATCTACATTGAAAATCTGTTGTCTAGTGTAGCCTCCTTCATCACTGATCTTAGCTACATCTTCTGGATAACTTACTACAGCTTCACTTTGCACTTTTATGTTTTGAAGATGGCTTCTTTCCTCAAACCTCCTGAACCAACCTCTGCAAGCTTCCAACCTTTATTCTGCAGCTTCCTTTCCTCTCTTAGATTTCACAGAACTGAAGAGAGTTTGGCCTATCACCTCTGGACTAGCCTGTTTTGCTTTCTTATCTTTTCTTTGTTCACTGGAGCAGTACTTTTGCTTTCTTTCAAGAACACTTCCTTTGCATTCACAACTTGGCTAACCCTTTTTCACAAGAGTCCTCGCTCTCAGTCTGTTGTGGCTTTCAACATGGCTTCCTCACTAAGCTTAATCATTTCTAGCTTTTGATTTAAAGTGAGAGGTACGGTTTTTTCTTTCATGTGAGCACTTAGAGGCCATCGTAGGGTTACTAACTTGCCAAATTTAAATATTGCTGAGTCTAAGGAAATAGGGAGGCCCAAGGAGAGTGAGAGAGATGAAGGAAAGGTTGGTTGGTGGGGCCGTTGGAACATACAACATTTACTAAGTTGGCCATCTCATATGGGCATGGTTCATGGTGCCCCAAAACCATTATAATAGTACCATTAAAGACCAACCATCACAGATTATCATAACATTTGTAATAATAATGAAAAAGATTGGAATATTATGGGAATTATCAAAATGTGACACAGAAACACAAAGTGAGCACAGGCTGTTGGAAAAATGGCACCAATAGCCTCACTTGATGCAGAGTTGCTACACGCCTTCAATTTGTGAGAAACGCTGCCCTGTGAGGCACAAAAAAGGGAGGTGCAACAGAATGAGGCGTGCCTGTGGGTTCTCCTGGGCTGCCGCAGCAGGACTCTCTGCGTCCCTCATCTCCACCCCGCAGGCCATCAGCTTAGCTTCTAAACCTCACCTGCATCCAGTTCCAACTTCTCCAGGCCTTGCTAAATGTCTCTAATTTCTTAGCAGAACATCTCAGCTCTGCTCAGGCCTCTACCCCCACGTCGCTACACTTCAAAACCATTGGAGACATACCCCCAAGGAAACATAAACAGTATTTCATAGTCACATATGCTGAAAATATGTCTCCAATGGACCACATGAGACATTTAGGCATCAAAAACAAATGTACTGTGACCAAAAAAAAAAAAACTCAGTGTTATTAAAATATTTTTTTGGTTAATTACACATAGCCTAACAAAAACTTACATTTATCCAACTTACTCTATGCCAGAAAAGCTGAAGTCCCTTCAGAAGCATTAACTTACTGGTTTTGAAGTGTAGCGAGTCCTGGGTCTAGCAGAGCCCTCAGTGAGTTGATGCAGTTGGCAGATGCTCAGTTTGATGTGTCACTACGACAGTGAGAAAGGAGAATTTGGAGGTTTTGGTTACCATCTTTACAGGTCATACAGCAGTAGTAGAGGCTTCCTGGCATCTGCTCCATGAGTCTCTGTTTGGGTCAGTTGCTGATGATCAGAAAGTTATGATTTCGGACACTCTTTCAAACAATACTTCCAAACCAAGATACTCAGTTGATGCTCACACTGCTGAGGTGAACTGCCTCTCTTTCAATCCTTATAGTGAGTTCATTCTTGCCATAGGATCAGCTGACAAGACTGTTGCCTTGTGGGATCTCAGAAATCTGAAACTTAAGTTGCATACCTTTGAATCACATGGGGATGAAATATTCCAGGTTCAGTGGTCACCTCACAATGAGACTATTTTGGCTTCCCGTGGTACTGATTGCAGACTGAATGTCTGGGATTTAAGTAAAATTGGAGAAAAACAATCCCCAGAAGATGCAGAAGATGGGCCACCAGAGCTGCTGTTTATTTATGGTGGTCACGCTGCCAAGGTATCTGATTTCTCCTGGAATCCCAATGAGCTTTGGATGATTTGTTCTGTATCAGAGGACAATATCATGCAAGTGTGGCAAATGGCAGAGAACATTTATAGCAATGAAGACCCTGAAGGAAACGTGGATCTGGAAGGACAAGGGTCCTAAATATGTATGTCTTTACTTGTTGTGATTTTAGACTCCCTTTTTTTCTTCTCAACCCTGAGAGTGATTTAACACTGGTTTTGAGACACAGACTTTGTTCAGCTATCCCTCTATATAATAGGTACCACCAATAATGCTGTTAACCCAAACAGTGGGTGTTTTCTAAATATTAATGGTAGCAGAGGGTTGGGGGGGGACTTGATTCAGCAAAAACACAGACTTACATTGAAATTTTCTTCAGGAATTTTCTAGTAACAAACCCAGGTCTAAAGTAGCTACAGAAAGGGGAATATTATGTGTGATTCTTTTTCTTTTGTTTTTTAATTGTACTTTAGATTCTGGGGTACATGGGCAGATTATGCAAGATTGTTGCATAGGTACATTCATGGCAAGGTAGTTTGCTGTCACCATCCCCCCATCACCTATACCTGACATTTCTGCCCACGTTATCCCTCCCCCACCCTCCCTCCCACTATTCCTCCCATAGCCCCCCCAACAGACCCCAGTGTGTGATGCTCCCCTCTCTGTGTCCAAGTATTCTCATTGTTCAACACCTGCCTGTGAGTGAGAACATGCGGTGTTTGATTTTCTGTTCTTGTGTCAGTTTGCTGAGAATGAAGGTTTCCAGGTTCAGCCATGTCCCTACAAAGGACATGAACTCATCTTTTTTATGGCTGCGTAGTATTCCATGGTGTATATGTGCCACATTTTCTTTGTCCAGTCTATCACTGAT